AATCAAATACAATGTCGCCCGTAATAAAAACAAAAGTTGAATGTTAATGTTTCAGTTTAAAAGTCAATCTCTTTCCGGTTTCGATTAAAAAAAATCAAAACGAGAAGCAAAATTTCCACTTTTCACTGCTGAAAATTTTCGACTTGTTACTTACCATCTAATTTCACGACTTAGCCCTAATCTGATCGACTTTGTATTCCTTAATATAACCGAGATCCTCATGATCCAGTTCGAAAAATAGACACCCAGTATACGTGCAACCCTTTTCGAGAGGGTCAGCAATCCCTATTTAATTTTTTTTCACGCTTTTCGTAAAAAAATCCTCAGTTCGGGCATAGCATTCACAAATCCGACGCTTCATTATTATCAAACCGTGACCGCTCGAATTCCCACCAACCGCCGCCGCAGACTTTATACAGAAACCTACTAAAATCACTAAGACGATAAAACATGAGTATTGCCTAGCTTACTTGGTGATGTGTATGGGTTAGCCAGTCTAAGTTAATGCAAATTTAAACATGCGATCATTTGAAACTCGCAAAGAATTGGTTGTTGTGTTGCATGTTTTGCATGTTGTTAAAGTTTAATTGAGTACCGAATCCGGGGGACATCACGCCCTGACTGACCGGCTTGGGTTGGTTCACGGGCGATGTCGGATTGCTCGCTAGTTGGTTCATACTGGGAGACGGTCCCGTTTTCGGTTTACCACCTAATAAATTGTCTAAGTCTATGTTTATGCTCCCGGAATTTTTCCACGTCGAACCCACGGCAAGATTCTTGTTTGTCGTTTGCTTTTCTGTGTTATTGTTTGTGATGGAAGACATCGGCTGGAGGGGTTGGAGTGAAGTAGGGGTCAGCACCGAACCTAGAAATGTAAACGGAAAGAATACACATACATGACATTACAACAAGCTTATTAGTCCAATAGAATTAGATTTTTACGTGCCAAAATTTAGTTCAGTAACCAGACACGTATAAATTAAGAAAAAAAAGATTCTGTGATTTCTAAATAAAAATTGAATGAACTACTTGAGTGTTAGGGCTTCGTTTTCAAAATGGCGTCTAAAGTTTGTAAAAAAGTTTTTCTTTCATTAAAAAACTAAACATTTTAGAAAAAAATGTTTTGGGTAAAAATTGTATAACAAAAATTTTGGGCGCAGCCCAATGTCATCTGAACAAATTATTGCAAAAAAATGGTTAAAAAACGCATTTTTTAAAACTTCAATATCTAAACCGAAAAAAGATGTTTTCGAAACTTTTGGAATATGTCGTAGTCCTTGACAAGTAGTGCATTTTTGTAAAATTGCAAAATATTTGATAGTAATTTTTGCAAAAATTGAGTTTTTCGAAAAAAAAAACATTTTTTTCAAGTTTCAATAAATCATACAATAATGCACTTACGTGACCCATTTTGGGCTTAAAATTTTTTTTAAGAGTTGTACTTTCCTGTGCAAATTGTGTACGTATTGCAAAATTATTGGAAATATGCGAAAGATATACCGAAATTTTAACTTCTCTTTTCGTGTCAAAAAAATGTAGATCTTTTTCTTATCGTTGAAAGAGTGACCGCAAAAATCGCCTGTGTTTTCACAATTCACAGAGAACTAAAGAAAATAGACAAAACTGTGTTTTTGGTCTCAAATTACTCGTCGTAAAAAATTAAGATGAGCATAACTTTTAGTTTTTTGAAAATTTTCAAAAATCACTCCTATTTAAGGGTTGAAAAGACGCCCAAAATGAAGAATTGAATATTGCCAATAAATATAAAAACTATTAGCATGTGAATTTTTCTAACGAATGATTCTTGATACAAAGAAAGATTTATTCTCACGACTGAAATAATAAGCATGTTGAATTAGAAAATCCACCCTTAAGCGCGCTCAGGGGGTGGAATCATCCCCAAAAATAGAGAATATCAGAAATAATTGTAAAAATTCCAAAAAAAATATAATTCACATGCTAATAGTTTTTATATCAACTGGTAATATTCAAATTCTTCATTTTTGACATTTTTTCAACACCTAAGTAGGGGCGATTTTTAAAATTTTCAAAATACTAAAAGCTATGCTCATTTCAGTTTTTTACAAGTAATTTGCGACCAAAAACATATTTTTGTGTATTTTTTTTTATTCTCTACGAATTGTGAAAAAACGGGTGAAAATCACAGGTTTTTGCAGTCACTCTTTAATTAGAATGGCAAACGTTCTACAAACAACAGGAGCCAAGAAATTTTTTTTAAAATCGCTACGACCTCATTTATTAATATTAAGGTCTGAAATTTACACAATCATGTCGTTGAATATTTTTACTTCAATATAAAAAATAGTCCACAATGTTGACCCCCTTTTTTACAGTAAACTTAATTTTGTTGGGCCCCGTTAAATGCTTGCTCCGCTCTTGACAGTTTCTTTGGAATACTGAGGTACAAAAAAAATCCTTAGTATGTTCAGTATTTGTAAATAAAAGAAAAAACAAGAATCAAAATGATCATCAGAGCAGGACTAGAGGTTCTGATAGTGGCTTCATCCCCATAGAACCTAGCCCGAGAACAACAAGGGCAGGTTAAAGATTCCCAGCTAAGACTAAGTAAGCCGGCAGCGATCAGGTACACAGACCGTGGCATAATAACCGAAAAAAATTACATAGGTACTTTATAATTGTTTTTAGAATCTTATTACATTTTCAATTGATAAACAAATTTTCGAATTCCTCTTAATCCCCAATTAATTTGCATCATTTGTAACCAGTAATGTGTCTGTTTAATATACAGGGTGTCTTGTAGGACCATATAATCATATTTTCATAAAAAATTATGGCTTTTTTGGCAAGAAATTTATTTATACATTCTTGCGACCATTTTTCTAACATTTAGATATTTTTTACATTAAATGATGCTGAAACATAATTCCCACAACCCATATCAATTGTGAAAACTCTATTATTATGCGGTTAGCCATATTTTAATTTAGAAATATAGCAATGAAAAATATGAAAAATGCGATTATCTTGCAAATTATAAGAAACAGACCCCAAATAAAATCGAAAAGAAATAAAATTTTGCATCTCTCCATTAAATTTAATATACGGTTCCATTTAAAAAAAAATCAAAATATCTGTGATTGAAGGCTTTGAATCTCTAAGATTCGTAATTACTATTTTTCTACTTGAAATAATGTATCAAGTCAATAATGTATAATAGTTTTTAAGTCATAAAATCCAAATTGTTCTATTATTGAAATTACCAGAGCTATGAGTATAGTTGTTACGATATCAATTGGAACCTGTAAATCTTAAAGCACAGAACCGTCTGCATTTCTCCTGAAATTTCTTCCTATGCTTTGACCATGATGTGTCTCTTAATTTATACTCAAATAGCAATTCGACGAGTCCGGTATTGGTAAACTAGTTCGCTGATGTAGAATTGACGGCGGGGCGATGGTTGTCAAAGCAAACTTGCATTGGTCCACTAGATCGTAAATAATTTTTTTGTATGGTACACGGGTTCACTTGGCTTTGCCAATGCAATGCAGAGCATTGCTTGGCGTGATATGTTGTTGGTATAATACGTATTATTATTTGTTCATATCCTAACCAGTAAAGGGTAATAGTTATTAAAATAAATATTACATGTAATAATTATCTAGTAATTTACCATAGCTCTCTGGGGTGGTATTCTGTAACATGGTACGGACTACAAAATGGACTACAAGAGATAACCTTGAACTTTTATTATTTTTTTTAGAAACTGTCGTTAATAATATAACAAAAAGTATTTATCAGATTTACTTAAAATATCACAAAAAATCTAAATGTTTCTGTAAAAGTTACGCTTTATCTTGCGATATTTTTTATAGCACTATAAGAAAGTTACAGAATACGGCTACTGGAGACTCTTTGAAGCGGAGGATAACGAAATAACTCGGGAAAATCCCCAAATAGTGGAACTGGTTTTTGTCGAAAGCATCGAAACAAACTCAAAAGTTTAAAAACAAAGATTTACATGTACGAAGTCCAACGTATTATTTTAAATATATATGAATGTTTGAAAATAGAGAATAGTGAACAATGTGATAAAAAAGTTAGGAAACGGATTAGCGAATTAACTAAAATATCAAAAACGACAATTTATAGCGTAATTAAAAAAGGAGACGTTATTGATCACGGTACAAAGAAGAAACGGAAAAATACAAAGTTAAAGAATATTAACAATTTTACCATAGATGTAATATGACGCACAATTTATAACATGTATAAAGAAAATAAAGTTCCTACTTTAAACATGATTCGAAATAAATTAAGCGATTATCCTGATTATAATTATAAATCTTTAGATATTTTACAAGCTTTATTACAATGCAATAAGAAACTTGACAATCATATGGTAATATAGCTCGGAGTAGTATATCTAGATGAGTCGGCAAAATTTTTCTGGACGCCTATGGATACCGTAGAATTTATGAGTTAAGTGTTTTTATATGGTTCCAATTGAGATCGTAACAACTATAATATGAAATCAATTTTAACTTGAAAACTGTTAGGCTTTTTAATATTCAACTAGTGTAACGTTTTTAGTATCTCCTCTACCAGTAAGCACAAAATGAATATTAATTCTGAAATTCTTGTAGTAAGAAACATGATTTCTCACATTTTCCGTTTGACAGTTAAAACGGTTTTCAAAATACTGAAAATTCAAACTGTTTTTTAACTTTGACCCCCTGTAGATTTAAAAGAAGCAAATTTTGGCTAAAACATTCTCATTCTTAATAAAACATCCTGTATACTTCATTTAAAAAAACAATTATATATTCACTATTAAATGTATTAGGGTCAACCTATTTCAATAAACAGATGTATTATTATTATTTAAATCAGAATTGGAAAGAATTCAATTCAAGCTCTATCACTTAAAAAATAGTAAAGCATTTCTATTAGAAAATTGTGCGTTAATCATATCGAATTTAATAAAAGAACACTTTGTTATACTGTACTAAATTTTATTAGAAAGCATAACACATTTTTCATACAAAAATCTAAATTACAAACTTAAATTTTAATTTTCATCGACATCAACTTTAAGGATATTTTCTATAAGAACCATGGCGCACCCGGCTAAATTTCTACACTCCGAATTAGGTTCTCCTCTGGCTGGGTTTAGCAAATCGCCCAACCACAACCGTATCTCCAGCAGCTCGTTAATAAAATCTTGCAGTAAAATACTCTGCGGAACGTTCAGAATGGCACTAGAAATAAGACTTAATATCCCCATCCTAACTTTAACGTCGACATGGAACCGTAAATACCACGAAAAATGGAAAATTTCCTTGCCCATCCTGGGAGCTACCGGACAATTTTTTGCCGACCACATCAACACAGCCAAAGTTTCCACGAAGTGTATCAACAGAATATAATCGCAATCTTCCTTCGTCGACTGACAAAGCATTTTATTCTGGTTGAAGCCGTACAAGAGCGGGAAAAAGAAATACCCCGCCACTTCAGCGAATTTGTTCGGTTTTTCCAATCGGGAATACTTGTGTTTTTTGAAATACCTGGTTTTGCTTTCCAATCTTTTTCGTATGACTTCCTCCGCGCTACTTAATTCTCTGGTTCTCTTGGTAACGTTACCCTGCGGTTCGTCAGGCTTTAAATTCGAAAGGCTTCCAGCCGCTCGTCTCAGAACGTCCAACATAAAAATGCGACGAGCTATCGAATACGTGCCTAAGTCCGCGTGGATCTGTTTACACAGATATTCGGCATAAAAGGCGGGGTAAACGCACGTGATTGCAACACAACTTTGAAAAACTAAACCATCAAAGTTATCTACGTAGAATCTGGGCTCCAAGGAAATCAATATTTCCAAAATTTCTAAACCGATAGCAGCGTCGTCGTCGGGTAACTGTGTAACAATCAGGTTCTCGCAGTTTTCCAAACTCAGCGCAAACGTTTCATGATCCTCGGTTTCTAATAATCCGTCTCGTAAGTCTCTTAAGTAGGCGGGAGGGTTTTTCTTCGCTACTTTAACATCGTTTGATAAGTCGTAAGGCTCCAAGTCATCGTCGGAGTCTAATTCGAAATCGGTATTGTCTATTATTTTAATACCACGATTCGGTTTAAGAGATTCAGACAATACAACTTCGTTTTGCGGTTCCAACGCTTTCCTACTCCTAAATTTACGTTCCGGGGGAATATATTCGAAGTTTTGATCATCACTTGCTGTAAGTTTTGTTATTAGTTCATCTACCGTTGTATTAAAGTCACATTTTTGTTTAAAATATTGTTGCATATCCTCGTCGATTATATTTTGCAAGTTGGTGACGATATTTTTACTCTCCTCTTTTAAAGTATCGTAATCGAATTTTAATTCCATCTCTGACCTATTTTCCGATTCTTTATACAAAAAGTTTATCACTATTTCTCCGGTTTTCATTCCAGAACTTCTAACTAGGTCTACCGTAGATTCCAGGTGCACCGAAATGCCAGAGAAAATTAATTTTTGAATTTTTGACCTATCGTGATCGTTCAAACCGATATTTTGCAGGGAGTTTATAATATACACGATAGTTTTGGAAATAAATATATGCTGCTCGACGCTAGTATGGCTTATAGACGATCTATCTGCCCAAATCGTCAGTAAATTTATTAGCAAGTTTACTAAATGGAATTCGGAAGAAGAACTGAGATAAACGACTAAATTTATAACCAAGTTGGAGTAATCTTTTTCGAAACAAGTCAGAAGAGGTATCTTGGTGCATAAAACGAATTTCCAATTATCGTTTTTTATTAATTGTTTCCCCCAAATTTCCGTAATAGTATATTTTTCCGGATTTACATTCAACAGAAACAATTTCGCCGCAATTTCCACTGCGGGTTTATCGAAACACTTGAAAATGTTTTGAAATATTTTTTTATACAAATGTGTTTTGTTCGTTACTTTATTAGTTAATACAGCTGCAATTTCTGTAAATACTATTAGCACTTCAGAATTCAATCTTTCATTGAAATTTACAAAAACTTTACTTAATATGTTGGAGATATTTTGAAAACTTACGCAAGATTCGTACTTCGGGTCCAACTTTATACATTCCGATACAAATTCTATTAGTTGTAGGATGTTTGTAATTAAAAATTTTGTGAAGTTCTTCGGAACGAAAAAATTTGGTACGTCACCCTCCAAAATATTAGCGACCCTATTGGGTAAAGAAATTAACATCTTTAAGATATTATTAAAAGACGTCAGTCTGTCCTCTTCAATAAAATTATCGTTTATATTGATATCAGATATGTGATGAAAAACGCAGGCAAAAAATCCTTCGGATTGCAATGAAATTTGTAACAAAGACACAATTACGTTGGCTACTTTTTTCCGATCTGCCCGTAAATGTTTCATAAGACATTCAAAGTTTTCTCTAAAAATCGTACGGTCTTCAACGCAAAATAAATTTTTGACGGATTCATACAATTGACCTCCCCTAAACGGAAAATTATTATCGAAAAGATTAACGAGTGTGTCTATAAATACGACGTAACAGTTTTCAGCGTAAGATGCAGCACAAGATAACTCATCGACATTGATTAATTTCTGAACCGTTAAAGGTCCCGGTAAAAATTCCAACAACAAATCGATTAGTGACAGAACGTTCTCGATGTCACTCTGTGACGTCAATTTCTCGAAGCTTTCCAGAGACTTAATGCCGTTGTATGTCAGTTCCTCCAATTTTTTTTGGGACGGCGTTTTCTTTGTCATTCTCACTTCCCTTCTTGAAACTTCACTCACGCACTTACTTATCAAACTCAAAGTGACCCGCGCCTCGTCTTTATTGGTATCTGTAATGGGGAAAGCTCTATGAGTTTCCCGATTTGATAACATAGTCTTTTTATTCAGTAAACTAAACACTGAATACGTAAATATAGTGCGTGGAAGAAAAATATGAAATAAATTCGTTATTTGAGATAAAGTTTCATGACGTTTTCTCGAAATTTGGGTATCGTCATCATGTATAAACAGTTTAACACGGGTACATGAAAAATTTAATATGTAAATCGTCATGTTACAGAGAACATCATCAAACCGCATTGTTCCTGATATAATAAGTTTATTTCATACTTATCTTCCACAATGTATAGTTTAAAAATAATTAATTTTTTTATCTAAAGCTTGTTGTAAGCATAAGTAAATCACTAAATCTAGTTACGGTGTACAACTTTTTAAGAAATATTATGTACTTATTCCTTGGAATGTAATCATTAATAATCGTAATCATTTTGTAGTTTAAAATTGTACAATGTTACTCATTTCAAATGGAAACACCCTTGTACAGATATAAAAATTTTGTTGAAATAAAAGTTGTAGTGATTTTTATGAAGTTTCTGTTTGTAGCAACAAAAAAACAATTCAAATTTAAATGTCGATGTGACAGATACAACTTATTATTTTAATGAAGCACCCTGTAAATTATTACATTTTTAGATGGGAAATTTTATTCTGAACAAACGTATATAACATATGTGGCACTTATTTTTAACAGTTTTATTATAAAATATGGGGAAACGAAAACAGAAAAACAAACAGTAGTTCCAACAAATAAAATTACAGAAACAGTATGAATATTAACAGAACAAGAAAAACATACATTATTTTAATAATAATTGTTCTATGTGAACCTCACTCCTCTGGACGAATAATGATTATTGATGTGATCCCATTTTCTAATAACATCGGGATTATTATCGATATTCGCAATTTCATTTCAGCCCTGTTTGAGGTGGTATTGAAAAGTGATGAACTTTTTGCCCTCTATCGAATGTCATAATTAATTTTTATATGTAATGTTTCATCTCTCCAGGACCATTATCAACTTAATTTTTTAACCCTAGAAATTTTATTACATCTTTTTGCAAGCCTTTATCACCCCCAATACTGTACTGCCACAACCCGAACCAGATTCAGACGTTTTGTCTCAAAAAATTCATCTTCAGTGTATTCGTTCCTTTATCTAATTTTTTTTTAGATTTCTATGTTTATTGAATATACACTCTAAGTATCATTAGACCCTGTGAAATCCACTTAGTTATTTAAAATATCACTAATAAAAAATTTAGATAAATTTGGAACGAATACATTGGGATAAATTTTTCGAGACAAAATGTCTGAGTCTGCTCGGGCTGAGGGGTATTAGTATTAGGGGTCGTGAAGGCTTGCAAAAAATGTTATAAAATTTCCAGGGTCATATTAAAAAAAAATTAAGTTGATGATGGCCCTGAAGAGACGAAACGTTACATATAAAAATTGATTATGCCATTCGATAGAGAGCAAAAAGTTGTCACACGACAGTGTCTTTCTTTTTTCAATATTACCTCAAACAAGACAGAAATGAAACTAAACGATTTCCAAAATTTAATTTTTTTTCAAATATTTCGAAAACTAATCATGTTAGCCTTGATTTTTTAGAGGCATAATGTTAAATTATGCAACTTTGCCCCATTTAAGCTACTTCGTATCTCTTACCGTTTCCGAGATCCCTGTAGAGAGAAGCGAATTTGTAACAGCCTGTATAGCTGTTTTTCCTAATAAATATGCCGGCTGTTGTGAATGTTGCCTCATCCGTCCAAAATTTTTGGGCGGGTATTACTTTAAAGGGTTTTAAATTATCCTTTTTCAGAACTCTGAATGCATGATTTAGAAATACCAAAATCTTATGGAAAATCTAGGATTTTCTTGGAAATAAAAAAGAATATTTAACTCCATTTTTTGATTATTATTATTATTTCTAGTCCGCTTTTTGTCTTCCAATTGATGAAAATGTCCGAACTTACGTGCCATATTCAAGAAAGTTTTTCTTGAAGGGGTGTGCCTATCAGGATACTTATTTCAGTAATCTCTGACAGCGGTGCTAGCATTATTGTTGTTATTGAAATATACTTTGACGATATTCCTACGTTCTTTGGTATAATGTATATTTTTCACTTTAATTTAACGAAAATTAATTCACAACTACTGTTTATTGTTATTTTAATTGTCATAAACCTCAAAATAATTATTGGAAACAAAATATCAATAAAATCATGGCAATCTTGAATATGCAATATGGCGGAAACATTTTTACGGTTAAATGCAAATAAAACAAAAACTAACTGTCAAAAATAAGTGCCACATATGTTATATGCTTTTGTTCAGAACAAAATTACATCGAAAAATGTAATAATTTACAGGGGGTTTTATCTGTCACATCGATATTTAAATTTGAATTGTTTTGCTACAACAGAAACCATAAAAAACTACAACTTTTATTTCAACAAAATTTTTATATCTTCAAAACTAACCGAGACAAGTGGGGTGGGAAAATTAAGTGGGACACCCTATACAAGAGGTATTTTTGACCGACTTATTCACATTTTTTTATTTAAAAGATTGAGCTTAAAAAATTGTATGAAGAACATAAATTAATTTTGTAATAGACAATGAATATTTTTTCACTAAATTTGGTATATACCACATTGAGGAGGTGCAGAATCCAGTGGCATAGTCAGATTTTAAATAAAAAATTAACTAGCCGATTTTTGTCAAATTTGATAAAAAAAAAATAATTAAAAAATTGGTTTTCAAAAAAGTTCCATTGTAGAAATTTTTCAGGATGATTTTTGCAGTAAAATCGCATTTTCTAAATGTACTTTCAGCTTTTTAACAAAATTGATTTAATTAAAAAAATCAGTGTGGTGCAGATAAAATGATTATTTTTCCAAATTTCAGGTGATTTTTGCAATAGAAAGTATGCTTGAGCTTTTCTTGTTTCCGAATAAGATGTAACGAGCGTTCAAATAAAAACGTGGTCAAGTTGGTTCTGAAAATTTGGACGTAGGGCGTAGCGTATAGCAAATGAACTTAAACGTCATCTGTCAAAGCGCTGTATCGCCGCTTTGTTATTGAAATTGACAGCTGCTATACAGCTCGTTGAGAAATGAGGTTAAGTTGGTCGCTATAAGCTACGCCCTACGTCCAATGTGTCAGAGCCAACTTCGACCACGTTTTTATTTGAACGCTCGTTATTTATTAAAAAAGTTTCATTGTTAATAGCCATGTTTAAAAGAAATTAATAAAAATATGACTTAGACACAGCAATTATTTATCAAAGTAGGGCTTAAAATCACATCGAAATTAAAAAATGTCATAATTTTTGAAAAAATAAAAGTTAAGTGTCATCGTAAGAACAAATAGAAGAGAAAATAATTTTAAAACGCACAAAAACTTACTCGAGATCAATTTTTATGACAAAATGAGAAGAGATTTTGAAAAAATGATTATAAACATTTCAAACAAAGTTTGTAGAATTTTGAATGACAAATGATTTGACATTCACCAGCGCGTTCCATTTAATATTCTCAAGTTGACTTTGGTTTGATCTTGGAGCTTAAAATTAAAGTCAAATCCAAGGTCATCAACGGTTTCTTTTCTCAATCCTGAAATGTTATTGGGGCATTCAGGACTTTTTGGGACACCCTATACAGGGTTTTCAAAAAGTTTGGAACCCCCCCCTCTATCTCCGAAAATACTGCTCAAATAAAAAAATTATTAGGACAAAAGTTGCAGGGTTTTGAGTGAGCAATCCAACGGTGACCTTGACTATGACCTTGAAGGTCAATTAGAGGTCAAGTTGAAAATTTTAAATGGAACCGTATACTTTCGACCCCAGAAATGGTAAGAGCGAAAAATTTTACGTTCGAACGTGACTGGCCATGACCTTCAAAGTCGTTTACAGGTCAAATCGATTTTTAATAAATGACCCGATATTCCTCGCTCTTTTCATTTCCGGGATCAAAGGTATACGGTTCCATTTAAAATTTTCAACTTGACCTCTAAATGACCTTCAAGGTCACCGTTGAATTGCTCACTCAAAACCCTGCAACTTTTGTTCTAATTTCTAATTTCTGATACAGAGGGGGGTTTCAAACTTTTTGAAAAACCCGTATATCAATCAATATTTATTCAAAGATCGTTCAATGACTATAAACGATGGAAAGTATTTACTCATTACAAAGCTTCGTTTACCAACGGCCAAAAAAAATTTACGCTTTCACTACTACAGTTAAACGAATATGTTTTGGAACTTACCCGACCCTAATCCGTCCAAGAGATCATTATTTGAGCTGCCAAGTAACCCTAAATTATTATTCGCCGGCGTCGAAATCGCCGACTGAGGCTGAATACTCAAACTGCCGAAATCCGACAGGTCCCCTAACAAATCGTTGCTGTTGCCCTTCTGGGGTTGTTGGGCCGGTAGCTTGGCCGCGTTTACAAAACTATTCCCTAGAAGGTTTTGGCTCTGAGCGGGACTACCTACTTGCGGCGCGCCTCCGATATAATTATTGCCGGCGATATTCGGGTGAGTACCGCCTCCCACGTTCAAGAACAGATTAGGAACGTTCGCAGTCGTATTCGGTGGCGGTATCACGTTCGGCACCACATTCGGCGTAGGGCCTAGTAAGTTAGGCAAGGCGGAGAATTGCTGGTTGCTTTGAGCTACGTTGTGTGAGAAGGCCGAGCTGAAGTCGGCGAAACCGTCGTCTTGCTTATGTGCGGCGACAGCAGCAGCGGTGTTGTGCTCGAAGGCAGTCTCGAAATCTCCGAATTCCGATGCGGACTTGGACTCTTCTTGCGCTTCGCTGGCTCTCGGGTTGAAATCATCGTTTAGTAAATCTCTATCGCCCTGGGGCATCGGGCTTTGACTAGTCGCTCTACCGAAATTAGCTGCTGCCCCTAAATCGACTTTTTTCAGCGGTTTGTTTATTTTTTTGGGGGAATTCGTTAAAGAAGTGTTTATGTTGATATTGACGCGCTTTTCCACATGCGTTGGGCTATTGGGCTGTTCGGTATCTTTGTATTTCTTTATGTTGTTTGCATAATTGTTTTGCTTCGTCTCTGTATCGCTATCTTCTTTGTCTACGTCGTATTCTTCGTCGAAAGTACGATCTCTGTAACGATTCGTGGAATTGTCGTCCCAATCCTCGTATCCCTCTTTATTGTAAGACTTATCGTCCCAAGTTTCCCGACCTGACCCTAAAATGCACATCTACTTTATTAATTAAATAAAACTTTGTTTTTTTTGTTAAAACCGTGTATAAAAACAAATCTATTATGCAACACTTCTCACTGAATTAAAAAAAACTTACTTTGGATAATTTTGTAATGTCTATTATTCAAAAAACAAGTTTTATTAACGAAATCCATACCCACGGTTCTGTTTTAGTTGCTAAATTATTTTATTGAGGAGTTAAGTAAGTTTTAACAATTTTACGGTTTGATAAAAAAATGACAGGAAGTGTGCAAAGTGATGACTATCTACCCATACAATTATCCTTCGCATTTAATTTGCACGATAATATCAGACCCAATTGTAATTGGAATTGTACCTGTATAGCTAAATTGTTGCTACTTATTTACAATATTTATTTAACAATAAATTTAGTTATTCCTTCAAGTAATATAGAAATTTTAATTAGTGGTTTCAAATTAAATACTAATCGTAAATGCTGTAATTGCAAGTTAATATACTGATAAATATGAAATTACCAGCCATTATATGAATTATTATTTAATGAGGTACTGTTTTTGGGAAAGTATATTAAATGGTCTGTATTGAGAAATCGACAAGGTCGAATTCCGTTCAATAAAAATTGCCCCACAGCCGTTTGCATGCAACAGAAATTATTTTAAAAATTACACATACTTAGGTGTTATTATAATTAATATGAAGTATCGGCAATAGTACATATAGCCACTACATTTTTCTGAGAACTATTAATTGTGATAATAAACGTAAAAGCAAAAAAATATCACCATACACGACCATTTGAAAGAAAATTAATAAGAGCATAAATCAAAAACACGATTAGTGAAATAATTACCAAACAAGTCCCTTTTCTTTTCAATCTGTTCAATGAAACAAATTCTTTTATATTCCATTTTAGTGAAATAATTAAAAAAAACATCAATAATTGAATATTAAGAGATGGGACATTTTTTAAAAAGAATATGCAAATTATTACTATGAATTGCATATCTAAATGAAATGTGATATACATAAATACATATTTATTGCAGATTGAAGGTTGAATTTCATTTATATCAGGTAATTTAGGATAATCTATACAAGTATTAAATATTATATATTAAATCATTAATTTTTAATGGCAGAAATCAACTTTCTTTTTCAATACAAAGCCATAAACAGGTTCAATGAAACCAATACCTTCAAATATATTTTTTAAACATAATTTGCATACTTTAAGCATAAAAAATATTTGTGTAAATATTCTTTTCAATGCCATTTAAAAAAAAAACAGTAAACTTTAAATAAAAACCGCCACCAAATTTTTTACTTAAATAGAACTTACCAAATCTCATTCCAATCGTGTCTGAACTCATGCCAATATATTTGTCTTTATTTTTCTTAGCTTTCTTGCGTTCCTCCCTCAGTCTGTCATCATCCTGTATGAAGTCTATGAGTTCTTTCACCTTATGTCTTATATTAACACCCTGGTCTTTTCCTATTTCATCGATATATGTATAATTTTCTAAGGACCTTAAATCATAGATATGTTCTCTAGCCGAGGTCACCACTCGTTCTGATCCATTTTTAATTAAATAATTTAGTACCAAAAGTGACTAAAAAAAGATTGGTATTAAATAAAATATTAAACAATAGAAATTTTGTACTTTGTATGTTCTTCGCCAGTGTTGCTTGTTATCTTGGAGCATTCTTTTCCACAGCATTGACATCACTTCTGGGAAATGTTCATATGTGAAAGTAGAATGAGCTAATTCTTGCATTATTTGTCCGGTGGGGCCCCACGCTTCGTCGTTTGTGGCCTCCCTGACTTTTGCCTCGATCTCGGTATAATTCATAACAACATTTGTCCTAAAACAGAAATAGACTAGTAAACTATAATGTCCAAGTTCCACAAATTAAAATTGTAGTAAGTACTTCTACTGTGTTAAACAAAGTAAATAGTCGAATGACAAGTATATTAAAAGAAAAAAAGATAAACATCTGTTTTTATCATTATTTTTAATTTACTTACACCTTATCTGCGAGTTCTCGCACTTTCCACATACTAAAAAGATTTTCCATTTTCAAATTTTTGAGATCTAAATATTTATAACATATATATTTCCTACTTCACTTATAAAAAAAAATAGTACACTGCCTAAAGTTTGCAAAAACGGTGACTTGGCCAGCTTTCAGCCATATTAACTTTAATTACTACGTCATGAAAAGACTGCCAATGTTATAAAACAAAATATGAATTGGAAATAATATTATTTGAATATTATGGCGGATCTGTAAATCTTTCGAATTCTTTTTTATATCTCTAGCACATATTCGAGTAAGTGATGGATTTTTTCAAGAATTGTGATTAGCCAATGATCCACAATTTCAAAATGAAATAGTTAATTCATTTACAAAATACATAATTCCCGGAATTATGTTTTTTTTTTCTTCCAGTTTTTATACTTTTCAAGCAATTCATTTCCTTCCAATGTGGAAATTACTTTTTTGCTTTTTATTTAATCAGTTTATTTATTTGCGTTAGTGTAAGTTGGTGTAAAGTGTAGAGACACCAAGTACACTTTTCTCTAGGGAAGAAATAAGAATACCTATAAAAATCATCTTCAAATATTAATATTCTGCTGCTTCCTTTTTTTCCACAATGTTGATAATTCAAAATTATACTTTACATACTTAGTTATCAACTTATAACACAATTTTAGTTCCTTGTGAGCACTATTCACTAATTAGTGATTTTCACTATTTGTGTGATGTGATTTTTCTGTGTGGTGGCCATAGTGTCACAAAAATCACTTGTCACCTGTCACTCCTGTCATTTACACAAAAACATAACCTAAATGATTTGACAATGGCTATGTTTAGGGCCCTAGGTAGAAATATTCCATATTTAAAGCAACAGTTTGGTGCTCTCTTGGGCAATACAAGCACCTCTGTAAAATTTATCTGTGGTGTAGTTCTATTAAGTTATGGACTGTCATATTCCGATGAAGCTGTGAGAGTCATATCAGTAACTCCTGGATATCTTATGCCGCCTTCCTTTTGGCTGTGGACAGCATTCACATTCTGCTTCTTAGAAATACATTTTTGGGAAGTGTTAGTAGACATTATCACAGTTGGTTTGTGTGGCAAATTAATCGAGCCGCTATGGGGACAAATGGAAATGTTGACATATTTCGCCATTGTTAATTTTGGTGTGGCAGTTATAACGACTGCATTCTACTTTATTTTGTACTGTTGCACTTTTGATGCGGAATTTTTGTTTACAGTACACATACATGGGTTGGCTGGATATATTGCAGGGGTATCAGTAGCTGTGAAACAAATAATGCCTGATCTAGTAATAATTAAAACACCACTTGGAAAACTAAGCAATAGAAATATACCTTTGACTGTATTCTTCCTTTCTGTCATATTTAAACTTGTAGGATTAGTGGATGGTACTTACCCGACTATGTTTTTTAGTGGTTTAATTGTAAGTTGGATTTATCTACGGTTTTATCAAAAGCACACGAATGGCTCGAGAGGTGATATGGCCGATTATTTCACATTTGCAAGGTACATATCTTATATTAAACAATTGTTAGTATGTTTCTGTGTAATAATTAGTTAATTTATTGATTTTGAAATATATTATTCAAAATAAAGACAGAGTTTTAAGTGTTAAAAACAACTTATACAGTATCAATCCGATTTCCTGTACTTACAACTTTAGCAATAAATTGGGCTGTATCTTTACATGGATAATTATTCAACATGAAAAAAAAAGTAATTGGGTGTGTAAAATTATTTGGATTGGAGTATAGATCTTTCTCATTTGAATTTAAATAGTTTTAAATCGCCAAACAAGATTTAACTTCAATTCCTATTCCTTTAAACATAATGATAAACACTATGCAGAAATAGACATTTTAATTTATAATTTGTGTTAAATACTTGGTGTTTTTTAATTTTTTTGTATTCAAAAGGAATTTCATATCTTAGCAGAATGAATAGAATAGATAATTGCTGAAGTTGTGTTTGAATTTTGGAGTTAGAGTGTGTAAATAGTTACCTTGATCTCTTTTTAGTTTCTTTCCTAACGTTATACAACCTCCAATCGCCATAATAAGTAACAGCGTTCATAGCGGCTTGGTGAGGATCGGAATATGTAGAAAAGTTGTCAGAAAATTTGACATGTCAAATCCAACGGGTGTTACCATATCTCTACCCGGCACGGATCAGCACGATATGGAGAGAAGAAGGTAAACCCTCATTTTAAGCATAATTTTTTAAAACATATATTTTATAAATTTTTCACAAGTTTAAACTTGGAAAATACGTTACTTTAATTAAAAAAAAAATACAAGTGAAATAAAAATAATTTAAATATTTGAAGTTTTAAAATCAAGGTATATATTTTTGCCAAACAAAAAAGGCGGTGCATAAATAGAATCTGTTATAAATGAAAATTAATAAACCTTATCTTATCAAAAACAATAACGGTAATTTAATTCATCCTACAATATAAGTTTTACGACATATGATAAATACAGAAATTCATATTTAATTAATAGAAACTTAGACCAACTTTTTGAACTAAATAATATTTTTCATTTCAGACAAATCGCTTTGAAAGCATTGAGCGAACGGCTCTCAAAGTCATACAGTGACAAACAGCCGCTGATTCCGCCGAAAACGCACCCGAAATCGTTATTGCCTTCGAATAAACTACAAGAACCTTCTTCGTCGCAACAACCTCAAACTTCACCTGCACAGCATTTAAAAATCGACATACCTCCATCAAATTTACCCTCCAAATCTGATACGTAATACGTTGACCCTTAATCATAGTTATTTAACTTATATACATAGATATTATATGATTGTTACTTTATTTTGTAATATATGTCAAAAAGAAATTAATAAATATTTAATTTATAGTTTCGATATAAAGACCTCGACTTTTCAGAAACTAATTTACTCCCTTTAATAATTCTACAGGGGGTTTTATATGTCGATGCCTTCAAGAGGTTGTTCCTGACTACCATATTGTTGGTTTAAACTTATTTACGTTTCAAGAGACAAGTGCTCACTGCTGCAAAAGAAACTATATCAGGATTTCTTTTAAACAAGACAAAAACCTTTATTTTGGATGTAACCGTTTCATTTTTTAAATGGCACTTAAATTATTGTCTACGCCGTCACTGGGCAGCTTCCAAATTCAGTTGTTAGACCAGGAAAGGAAACATTTTGAAATTTATTAATTACTAACAATTATATACAAATAAAAAAAATAATTTTTTTAACTAGACGATACTTGGTCTCCCTTCGAAGAAAATGTGCCCAAAAAGAATGTTTTAGTCATAATCCTGCCCCCGGAATAGTCATTTGAAAATGGGCCTTTTTTGCAAAAATGGGATAATCAAATGGAATTTTGCAAAAACTATTGGACCGATCGAGCCCATCTTTTGCACATCTCCTAAGGATATAAAAACTCATATTTTGGGAAAGTTTGGTAAGATTTTATTAATTATTTAAAGTTATTAACAATTAAAGAAAAAGCACTTTATCTGTTTAATTTTGCAATAAATTTTTTGTTTATAAAACAATTTTAACTTATAAAGTCTCATTTTAAAGATGAGTTTCTCTAGATCAAATTGTCTGTTGAACATTTTCTAAGATTAATAGTTGTTTCACATAACGCGTAGAACGATAAATGATGAATTTTTGGCCTATTTGTCGATAAAAAACAATGACACTATACTTTTTTATGACCCACGAGATGAGACGCCTCTTATATTATCATTCCCAAAACTTTCCAACAATAAAATCACGTCTAGTAATTTTCACGATTTCTCGATAATTTTTCACCTTTATTTCTCGGTCTATGTATGTTTATGCTTAAGAATCAGAGTTGCCTGTTTGTTAATCTTTTTAAAAAAAAGCCATATTTTTTTTATGTCAATACAGTTAAAAATCCGAACATTAAAAAGATTTATTTTGGACAGTTTGTTAAATATTAACTAATTTGTTTTAAAACAATTATTATTGTTGTTTCACAAAACAGACAATAAAAATACAAATACTAATCTGATAGTTCTGATATGTTTTTAAAATAATTTCAAGTTTTTAATAAAAAGCACGTTACTATTTTTTTTTAAAGCACTATGTTTAGGTTGTGAATCTCGGTGTCAATGATCTCCAATGTTGATCTAATTTATGTGAACTACATAATATCAATCCACCTGTGATATGACAATGGCGGACAAAAAATAAATGGCCTATGTTAATTCGGTGAAATGAGAATAGCCGAATATATCACCAATTTATGAAAAAAATTTGTTTTCACAATGGAATTTTAAAAAACAAAATTATGACTTCAGAGTTAGACGTATATCTTTAAGTAATATTTTTATTTACGCTATATTTATGATAAAAGATATCAACAACGCCGTTCGTGTTAATAACTACTAATAAGTTTGGTCATTTGGCTAAATATTTCCTGATTTTGTGGTATTGTACATTGGGCAAAGTGCATAACGTTAAAAAAATACTACAAACCTAAGCATACATTTTATTAAAATTGCACATCGTTAAATTACATAATGAAACCATTACGAGATTTGTCCTTAAAACTTGAGAGACTTCCATCTCTAATCACTTTATATCTACAATATCAGTACAAATTCTTTGCAGAAGTATACAATAATCAATATTTTTATTTTATAAATATGTGTATATAAAAACCATAACTATAAACTAAAAATTAAAAAAAATCAGTTATTGAAAAGTTATTATCTCTTCGTTTCATTCTAGACTTCAAGAACTATAAGTAGAAGTATAGAATTGGCAGTGATTAAATCAGTACGTAAGAGTACTACGAGATCTAATAAATATAAGAATCCCATGCATTTCACAAAAACCCATCGATATAAAAGTTACTTAAATTTTAAAATATAATCAATTTTATTTACATATAAATATTAAAATTGTTACTTTTCGTGTGGATTATTTAGGAAGAGATAAAATTTAATTTGCATTTACAATACCGAGATTTACGTTTCCAATTATCCTTTATGGACCAAACTTAAAATTTGAATTGGGGTGGTCAAAATAGTGAAGAAAGTCCGGGGAAGTATTGTCCAAAAATTATTTTTCTAGATCCAGAGTTGGAATTTGAAAAAAATCACGTATGTAGTCCGAAATACCTCTGAAGATGACTGATGTACAGTGATGAGACTTAGGCTAATTATTTTTCTAATTGGGGTGGTCAAAATAGTGATAAAGTCCGGGGAGGTATTGTCCAAAAATGTTTTGTTTTCTAGATCCGGAGTTGAAATTTGAAAAAAAATCATGTAGTCCGAAATACCTCTGAAGATGACTGGCGTACAGTGATGAGACTTAGGCTAATTATTTTTCTAATTCAAGATAGAAATTTCCTGAATTATGATACAAATGCGTTAACCAGTGGCGAAGATATTTTAGAAATTATTGTTTATAAATCGTAGAGGTACTTCAGAGGAAAAGCATCTCTTCTATTTAAGTTAAGAAAAAAATGCAAATCTATGCCAAAAATTTCTTTGGATCCATGATTACATTTTTTAAATCGTTTATCATCATATTAGAAAAAAAATTTCTGCAATTTTGTTTGGGAAACGGGAAACTTAATAAAGTTAAAAGGAATAATAATTTGAAAATGGCCTATTTTTCGAATAAAATATATCTTTTTTGATTGAATTTACAAAATATCTAGGACCGTTGATTTTCAGAAATTTTTAGTGATAGCTGCTCCCAGTAATTTCGCTGCTGGTAGGTATATTTATATCCAGATTTTGTTTTATTTATAGTCTAAAAAAAAATGCAAATTTTCTATGCCAAATTTTTTTGCACTTTCTATAATTGCATTCGAATAAAATGGAAGATTTTTTTTCTTGGAAATGCCACTATAAATCACAAGTAATGACTGAATTTCAAAAACATCCAGTAGCATCGATTTTCAAGAATTTTCCAAACCAACCCTGTATCTCGCGACAACAAAGTATTTACAGACATTTCTCCAAACGATTTTCCTTTTTTTCACCACCCGAATTTAAATTTTAAGTTTGGCCCCTTAATCCTGATACGACATACAAAAAAAAGTATTACGAAAATTATTTCTAACAAATCTAAAATTTTTTCTCCTGTTAGACAAACGTTGTGATACAATACAGAGAATATATGTTTTATTCCTACCGTTTACTCGATAATTGTCAATTTATTGAGATTTGTTACAATTGACTTTACACCTTGTAATTTTACGATATTCAAGCAACCTTAAGTAGTACGAATTTTTATTTTACAAGATTTCGTACCAGTCGCAACTAATAAATCTTGTTTGATCCAGAACATCAGCGATCAACAGAAATGTCCCAAAGATATATATTATTATGTTAACAGGGTATCGCTTATTTAAATAGCCCACACGAAAAAATTCACTTTCTCTTGCTCGGCGTGGACGCGAAAACGTGCCCACCGAACATGGAGGACTCTTCGTACGTACCAACTTCGGTGTGATACCCTGCATCGGTCACGTCATTCCTGAACAATTTTCTGTTGTGCCTTATGTATTCTTCCTGCGGCTTGTTTTCTTTATTGTCTTCGTCTTCCTCGTACTTAAAACTATCGCTTAGTCTTTTTCTCTGACTAGTAAATATTTTCGAATGAGGGGTGTGGGTATTGAACAAGTCCATTTTTTCGGAACTTTGACTACTGTTGGACGACAACAGGGACACGTGTTTGTATTCCATGTCCCAGTTTACTGTAGAATCGCTCAACAGTTCAACCGGTTGAGGCAAATGATCGTCTTCTGCAAAAACGGAGAGGCCGTTAAAAATTTAATGCAATTAGAGAAAATAAAATTCCGGGGAAAAACCGATTGCAGAAAAAACTTTTTTTTTCAGAAAAACTGGAAAAATCGAACTTTTGTTAAAATCTGACATATAATTAATTGCATTTTCGGATTCTACGTGAAAGACTGACCGCAAAAAAGCCATTTTGTCACCTGTTTTTGAGACTTTGACAGAGGCGACGGGGAAAATCCTAAAGATATTCTAAAAATATCCAAATAATCGTCATGAAAAATGAAAATGGGAATCACTTTCAGTTTTTCGAAAATCACCCTTATTTAGGGGTTGAAAATACAAAAAAGTGAACAAATTAAGAATCATCAACAGTTGTAAAACCCCAAATATTTCTATGTTATCAAAATTAATAATATTATGAACGTGAAAATATCTAATTTCGTATTTGATCTGGTCTTCTCCAAATTGAAAATCAACCCATAATATCTCTAAAGGGGGAAATCATCCCCTAAACGCCTAAAAATGCAAAAAACATATTAAAAGTTATAATGTTTTTCTTTTTCTTTTATACGTGATAATTGAACCATTATAACCCAGAATCACTAGATCCGAAGGAAAATATCCCTAAATGAGGGTAAAACCACCCCTAAGTTCAACCATCAGCTTCAAAGTACTTAAAATAATTATAATGCATGAAAAAAATAATGTTTCGAAATACATTACACACAAGTACTCACATAATATATTTTTTGCATTTTTAGGATTTAGGGAATGATTTCACTCCTTTAGGGATATTAAGGGTTGATTTTCAATCAGGAGAAGACCGTATCAAATACGAAATTAGATATTTTCACGTTCATAATATTATTTTGATAACAACATAGAAATATTTGGGGTTTTACAACTGTTGATGATTATTATTTTGTTCACTTTTTTGTCTTTTCAACCCCTAAATAAGGGTGATAAACTGAAAGTGATGCTCATTTTCATTTTTCATGACGAGTTTTTGGATATTTTTAGAATATTTTTAGGATTTTCCCTGTCGCCTCTGTCAAAGACTCAAAAACAGGCGGATTTTGCGGTCACTCTTTGAGGGTCACATTATTAAATATTCCCTATATCTAGGAGTTATAGGTTTTGAGATATTAATTTTTAAAGAAAAAATTTGACAGATGCTAGGGTCGACGGAGATGCTAGTAACTCTTTTCAAGAGCGTGATATCAAGTGGATTTTTGGTAGGTACCTCTAAAGGGCATAGATAACACCAAATTATGGTGTACCAACAAATTCAAACATTTAATACTAGGTGTTTCAATTTTGTTGTTACATTTTGATAACTTCAAACAGCTATAACTTTGTTAACTTACATGAAACACCCTGTATTTTTTGCACCGTTGTATGCAGATTGAAATTTCCTTTCAGGTTGTATAAGCATTGTTAGGGTTGTCGTTACTACTTTTAGAAATATTTGCAATTTTCTATTTTTTGGAGTTTTTCTCGTATCAGACCTGATATCTAATTAGCCATGACCAGAACAGAAACATTCCAATAACAATTGAAATAACTTGACATTTGTCGAGTTATTTGCTAAATTATTGTTGTCTGTAATAGTTTTTGCCGAAAATTTAAATAAAAATGCCTGGGGATCATTTAAATTATCGTAATGAGGATTATTTTAATTTCTTTGTTATTTATGGATAATGTGACAAAGTAATTTCATGAACACGTAGAGAATTTGCTGCATTGTACATTGTCCATAAATAACAAACAAATTAAAATTATTCTCATTAGTATAATTTAAACGGTCCCTAGGCATTTGTATTTAAATTTTCAACAAAAACTATTATAGACACATTAATAATTTGACAACTATCTTGACAAATGTCAAATTATTTTAATTGTTTTTAGAATACTTCTTATCATGGCCAATTTGATAACAGGTCCGATATGAGAAAAATTGTCCAAAAAAATAGAAAATTGCAAATATCTCTAAAAGTAGTAACGGCAGCCCTAACAATGCTTATATGGCTTGAAAGGAAATTTCAATCTGCATACGACAGATTAAAAATACGGGGTGTACCGTTTAAGTTAACAAAGTTATAGCTGTTTGAAGATATCAATATGTAACAGAAAAAATGAAATGCCTAGTATTAAATGTTTTAATTTGTTGGTATACCGTGATTTAGCCTATGGTACCTATGCCCTTCACAGGTACCAAAAATCTACATTATATCACACTCCTGAAAAAAGTTACAAGCATCTCCACGGACCATTGCATCTGTCAAATTTTTTCTTTAAAAATTAATATCTCAAAATCTATAACTCCTAGGTATAGGGAATATTTAATAAAGTGACCCTCAAATTTCATGTAGAATCCAAAAATGCTATAATATATAGGGCGTCCCATTTAAAATATGAAAGTTAATGTCAGCTTCCAGTATAACCAGAAGTGCCTAAACATTTTAGTGGTGTTGGCCCTACTGCCTTTGCTAGGTTGCCAAATTTTCAGATTTATCGGATCAGCACTTTCCGAGATATCGATAGTGGCGATTCCTGGTGGGACACTCCGTATATATTTATCTATCTTGTCCAAGAATGTTATACAAGCTGTCTCAAATAGACTCGAACCTCCCCAGTATTTTGTCAGTATTTAATTCTATCAAAATAAGTTTCAGATTATCAATTGCTAGCATAAAAAATAGGGCGTTTCATTTAATATTTTCAAGTTGACCTTGGACTGACCTTAACACTTAAGGTCAAGGTCAAATCTAAGATAACAGAATTTAACTTGATCTGTAACTTTTTTAATAAGATCCGATGCTGATATTATCAGTTTTTTAGTCCTGAGGATGTCAAGATTGATAGTGACGAAACGCCGACAAGAAAAAATTTGTCTTTTTAATTTGGTTAAAAAAATACTTTTAATTGTTGTTTTTTTTTTTAAGTTACGGACAACTGAAATTCTGTTTATTTTTATTAATTACTCATCAAAATTAAGAATTGTTTATTTTTGGTCTTTTAAATAAAATATGTGCCTTTTATTAATTTGTGCTTGAGGTGGATATTATTTTCATACTAATTTAATAGGTTTATTCTAGCAAAACATTTAAAAAATGTATATTTTAGAAAGTATTTTTTCGTATTCCTATTCCGAGTTTCCAGTTTTCCCAAGATTTTTACTTTGAAAAAAATAAAACAGAAAAAAATACAATTTTTCTCAAATTTTTTCATTTTTTTCTAATCTTTAAATCTCTAGATGCGCCATAATTCAGAATATTACAATTTATATGTCATTAATTAATAGTGAGGATTACCTATGAACACACTCTGGGTGGACATTTGATTAGCGATATCTGGTACGACGCTAGCGTCGATACTCATTTTGCTGGAAAAATTCAATCTGCACGCCGATCTCGATTCGCTAGGAGATTTTCTACCTATCGGAGAGAGATTGCAATCCCTCAATTCAGGCATGTCATAAGGATTGTCTAAACTTTTCTCTAAAGAATTTAATGGAGACAGGTGCAGTGGAGACAAACCAGTAGAGTGAGCCGGTGAAGACTGGTTTGATTCAGTGTCACTAGGTGATTTAGGCTCCTGATCAAACTCGAAGAGCTGACGATAAAGAGAGTTATTTTTAATATCACTTTCACCAGACATCTGCTGATCTTGCGTGTATGTAAAATATGGCTTGAGAGCTTTCTCTAAGTGATCGGGGAGTATTGGCGGTAATGTTAATATAGTTTGTGCCGCACCTGCAACAAAAACTACAACTGAAACAATATTTTTAAGTTTAGATAAAACTGACCTTCTGAATAGTGTTTTTCTTTGACAGCGCTGATTGGAGTGTCAGTCTCAATAACAAGAGGAACTCTAAAAGCTTCAGTCATAGGACTAGGAACTATAACTTTTTCATTAAAAAATGTGTCTATTTTTTGTTGCACTAATGATTCAACTTGAGGATCTTCTTCAAAAACGTGTTGGCTAATTGTAGCTTCGTCTATATCTGCTGGTTTTAAGCTCGAAATATCATCTATAGTCCATTTAAATTTTTCATCAGTCTTAGGAGTTGAAACTTTAGCGAACACCGATGGACTAGAATGTCAGGTAATTAAAAATATTTGCTATACGTTGTAAATAATAATAATAATAATACACTTACCTGAACGTTGGAAGATGCAAACTGTCGATTATATGTTGTTCGAATGGATTTACAATTTTCGTAAATCTTGATGGGGGAGTGGAGAAATTTGGAAGAACTCCAAAGGGACTATCACAGCTTACAGTATTTGACAATATCTTATTCAGTTTTGAATTTGGAGTTTTGTTTCTATCATTTATGTATTTAAAATCCATGTTACTTTGATTAAAAAAATGTTTTCCTTATTTTTATATTTGCTTCTTAATCCTTAGATTCATTATTTTATCACAAATGTTTAAGTTAATCTTAAATCCAGTACTTAATTAATACGAATCTAACGACAAAACCCGCACAGCCACAACCGTTGCATCCCAAATTTTAAATACAAATAAAAATTGACCGTTTGCTTTACTGATTTTCCGCTCAAACCGATCATTTGAAGTAAATAATAAAAATCCCTAAGTAGAGCACGTTCCCCAATTGGAATTTAAATTTTTTTTTATTACTGGTACCTTGTGCTATTGTTTTGAATAACCTAATTTGAAATTAGTATGTAAAATGTAGAAATCAAATGACTATATTGTATACAAATTTAAACTCATTGCTGGAGAAAATATATTATATAAAAATTAATACATTTTATAGGGAACGTACTCTTTAGAATCGAAAGCTATGTTGCCAGTGTTGCCAAGCCTATATGTCATTTAAATACTAGTCCTAACCTCAGTTTTTGTCAAGCATCATTAATGTTTTAGTTATCTAAAGCATACATATATCCAATATATGTATAAAGATATTAATATTAGTCACCAGAAATAAATGAAATCAAAAATGGAGGATGCACCTAAAAGGGGTCGTGGTCGAGGCAGGGGCGGAAGAGGACGAGGACGTGGAAGGGGCCGAGGCCGTGGAAGAGGAAAAAAAGCTGCCAAAGTGATTGAAAGTGATGAAGAAGTTGAAACTCAACCGGCGGAAGTTGTCGTCGAGGAACCACCAACAGAAACTGATAGTAATGAAAATACCGCTCCACCACCAAGTAAACGTTACTGAAATAGCTGTGATGTTTTGTGTTTATTTTAATACTGTTTTTAGTTGATCTGGAAGCCGATATTTCCCAGTTAGAGGCCCCCACATTTACGACAATTAATAGAGGACCACCAGAACCTATGCTGCGCTTGAATTGGGCTCACAAAGTAAACTTGATTGGAGAGAAAGTTTTGAATCCAATGATACATTGTTGCGACAAGTGTCTGAAGCCAATTTTGATATACGGTCGAATGGTAGGTATATTATTGTGTGAGATAGACATACTTATTCCAAATGTGTTTACGATTATCTATTTCGTTCTATATATTTATCATTTTATGACAATTCAGAAAACAAAAATCTTTCTTGTTCTGACATCACTCTTGATAAAAACCAAAATGTAAAAATACAAAATCAAATACTGAGAATTATTCTCAAAATATTTAACGATTTGTTTTTGTTTTTAATTAATGCCAAAAATTTGAATACTTATCATAGGTTCTTATGGGAAATGTTATGATGCATACCCTTACAATTGAATTACAGGTGAACAAATGCAAATGTAAAAAAAATATATACATTTACTTGAATCATTAATTAATAGATGAGAGAAAGAAAAAAAGTAGGTTACTGCACATTTCATAGAGAAATAAATTATCAAACATAAAAAGCTTTGACTTGTCCATCAAGTAATAAACGCGAAGGAGTAACGGCAATAGTGCAGCAGAGTATGAATGAGGATAGGTGGCGGGAAATTTATATAAACGTTTCGATACACAGATTAGTCATTAGAAATGGATTACATTCAATTTGTGTTTATTTGTGTAATTCAATTGAAATAATAAAATAATGGGAAAGTTTCAAATGAAGTATGTTTTTTGAAATCTTTTTTAATGTACGATAAGCTTTCAATACAAGAAGTAAAGAATACACAACACATAAACAATGAAATATTTATACTTCACTGCATTGTACTATACTGCGTCACAGCGCATATAAAGATCATATGCATTTTGATAAATTAGGAAATTTTTAATATCATTTTTCATTTTAAAATTAACATTTTAATAATTGTAGTATATTTTTTAGAATATTTTTGGCTGCAATAACATCGTATCACAGTATACAGTGAGCGGCAAAAGTATGGAATATATTTACTTAAAAATCAGATGTTCGTTATTTGAAAAATCACTCGGACCCGTCGAATTATATTTTTAGTTGCGCATTTTCTGAAGCAATTTTCATTTATACAGGGTGGCCCAAAAAAAGTTATGAAATTAAGGCCAACTTTTTTAAATGGAAACCTCTCTTTTTTGCATTTTTATTCAATTCTCCATGGAATTCTAATCATTTTTTATGCAACATAACTTATACCTATCTTTAACCGTTTTCGAGATAATGGCGTCTGAATATAGAATATGGAAAATTTAAAAAAATTACTCTCGATACATAAGGACTGTAACGTTAAAGTCAGTACTTTCTGCTAAATACATTTTGTGTTTTTGTATTTTGTGTTTACAAAAAAACATGAAACGGTGCTGAAAATTTGCAAAATAACCTGACTCGTAATTTAAATAGTGACATTTGAGTCTTCTAGTATCAAAACCCCTTAAATCCATTTTTGATGAAAAATGAGATATACGCATCAAAATATTCCTACTAAAATTCCCTATTGATGTGTTCATTCGAATGATTGCAAAAGTTACCTAATATGTGTAAAAATGCACTCTAAAAAGTGTGTTTAGATTCAAAGCCACGAAATCCATTTGAGCTAACGTTCACACCCCACTAAATCCACAATAGCCAATCATAGAAGGCTAACGTGACAACACGTGGTCGGCGGCGCTGTACAAATTTAATTTATGCAGTATTAGATCAGTCATTGTTGTGCTAGTATTATTGTTTTTAGTTTAGTCTTGTATTCGTTAACAAGTGCCAATAAAATAATGTCCGATATTACAACACAAATTGAAATTGTAACACCAGATAAAGGTAGAAAGAAGTAGAAGATGTTCCAGACCTGAGTGTTTAATTTTATTTTTTATTATTATTTTAGTTTTTTAGTTTTTCATTAGTTTATTATTCATTTTTACTTGTTTTATTAATTATTAATAGTAATTCATAATTACATTATTAGTTTGTCTTTAGTAAAAATGTGTGCCACCTACATTTTTTTTGTCATTTTCATTTGTTCTTTGTCAAAACCCATTAAATCCACTTTACTGATATTCAAAATCCATTAAATCCTATAGTTGGTTTCAAATGCCACTAACTCCATTTTTGTTTTCAAATTTGTGAGTTTATTATAAACAATTTTGTTGTGTTTGTTGCAATTTGTTGTCCAGTTAGTGTTAAAATTTCACAAAACAAAATTTCATTACGGAATCGCTATCAGAAGTTGGTTAAACAGTTTTTCTTCATTTATGCAAATTTCACTAAAGTGGATTTAAGGGGTTTTGATACTAGAGGATTCATTTAACAAAGTCATATTTTATACAATAAAATTATGCGTTTTTAATTAAATTATACCTAAATACCTCACTTATATTTTTTACATTCAAGTCATTGTGTCCTAATGATCAAAATAAATCACCGAACCACTTATTTCTTATGGATTTTTCTGATTTGAAGCAACTTTCTGTGAACCACACAAATCTAAGATGGAGAAGTAAACGTGGTTTTATTTTAAAAGTAGCAGGCTAAATCTCAGGGTAATTTAGACCCCATTATCTCGAAAACGGTTAAAGATAGGTATAGGTTATATTACATAAAAAATGATCGGAATTTCATGGAGAATTGAATAAAAATACAAAAAAGTGGGGTTTCCATTTAAAAAAGTTGGCCTTGATTTCATAACTTTTTTTTGGGCCACCCTGTATAAATAAAAATTGCTTCAGAAAATGCGCAACTAAAAATATAATTAGACGGATCCGAGCGATTTTTCAAATAACGAACATCTGATTTTTAAATAAATATACTTCATACTTTTGCTGCTCATTGTATATATCAAATTGTATTATACTTTTATAAATGCAATCGCTTTAAACCCTTGTCTTCTAAGGAACATTTGTATTAACAGAAGTACATCATAGTAGTATGCTACTTATGCATGTAACTAAATCATATTTAAACTTTTCCATGTGAATCACTTCATGATCACACTTTGTAGATAATCTAAAATACGTAAAAGTTCTTTGCAAAAAGAGCAGTGCATGTTTTGTGCCATGTACTCTACGTCGATTAATTGATGCCCTCGAACGGTGTGCGGAGGTACTGGCTCCACAATCTTCTCTTCAACAGCTTTTTTCCTGCTTTTGCTGTTTTCTGTTCTAATTCTCAAACAATCATACTTTCTTTTGGTCACAAATTTTCCTTTCTACCGACTCTGTTCTTCATCCTACATTTTATAGGTTAAAGCAGTCAGCTGTGCGAGCGGTCACATAGCATAATGTATACATGACAATGAATGCCAATTTACAAATAATAAACTCGGCACACTCGTGTGCTGTTACCAAGCTTTTATTACAACTTTTGTCATTTATTTATGCATATTGGGTAAAAAATAATAATTGAGGAATGGAAATATATAATTTTAAGTATTTTAAACTCTTTTTTATTCAGTGTCTACAAGCAACTATATCAGTCTACTTACTTTCTAGTCTTAAAGAATACTTTGTTTTGATGAATGAATGATTTTATAACACGGAAAGTATAAGGCCCCCGCGTCCCGCTTCACCCCACCGAAGAAGCACCCGATCCTCCTTAATATCAAAAATAAGGAAAACAAATATAATCCTCACCCAAGTTCAGGTTTTACATATATTTTATTGCATTCAAATAATGTCAATTGCTTTGCACAGAAGATAGATTTAAAAATGTATATATCCCCGTTTTTTTGTTGCTTTCGAGGGAAATACTCTTTTGTGAGAACGACACGCTTAAAAATTTTGTGTTCCAGATTCCCTGCAAACACGTATTTTGTCTGGCTTGCGGAAAGAAGGAGCAGAAGCAGTGCCCCCGCTGCTTAGACAAAGTGACAAGAGTGGAACAAACAGGTCTGGGAACCGTTTTTATGTGCACTCACGGAGGTACAAGGTACGGGCAAAAGGGCTGTCGTAGGACTTACCTCTCTCAGCGTGACCTACAAGCCCACATTAATCACCGTCACGTTTCAAACGTAAATCAGCAACCGATGGAAGTGGTGGAACCAGAAAGGGCTCCGCCTATCGTGCGACCTAAAACCGCCAACGACCCGAGATCGAACATCGTGCCGACTAGCATCAGGCAGAGACCCCCGTTGGTACAGTCTTCGGGTGTGAGAACTAACTTAATAACAGTGCCTATACAAGACTCTGCCCCGACAGTGCACGAAGCCATTCCGACTACTCAGAATTACTACAGCCAGTACCCCCCGACTGCGAGTTATAGCCAGCCGTTGCCTCCCATGCACATACCACCTCCCCAACAGCCGCAATATTATACTGCCCCTCCCGCTTACAGCCCCGCGCAAAGTTATCCGCCTTACGCGGGAACGACGGCGCCCCCTACTGCTCAGTACGCAACACCTACTCCGACCCAGGCCAGGCCTGCGCCTCAGTACGATTACAGTGCGGCTACTCCCCAGTGGACTAACAGCCAGCAATACTATAGATAAGGGATATGTACTGTGTATTCAAATTGATATAGAGCGTTATTTATTAAAGTTTTTTTTTATTATAAACTTTAACTTAAATATTGAGATTGTGTAATTAGTGTAAGAATATAATAAAAAAAAATAACAAAAAGACTATCTATTATTTTTTCTGTACAATTGTTTCCTGTGATTGACTCATACTGGTTAAACTACAAAACACCACTAAACTGAGTGAATTACACCTAATTACAGGGTTTTTTATTTGGTTTATTAAAATTAAACTCATCAGCGCACTTACTGACGTAGTGACGTGTTTCTGTACTAATACACAGCTGTTACGAGTAGCAGAATGAGGCGCGCCGCGCGCCATTATTCCATGACTAGAATGGCCTCAATGATTTGGGATCGAGAGGGATTATCCCTCTTTATCCTGCCTCATCTTGTGTAGGCCTGGACAGCCTTCGTAGGTGGGCCCCACATACTTCTATCCTATACTGATCCATTACCTATAGTTTCAATGGATGACCTTGTTTCCAAAAAGGGGGGGCGAGACGTACTCCGTGTGTTTTGCGCATGTTCCATAATTAGGCGCGGTTGCATTCAAATTTAAAAGATTGTCACGGCATGCTCTGTACTATAGCCGATTATATACATATAAGATATTATAAATAACGTAAGTATCTGCATAACCTATTTAATATTTTGCAGGCGCAAATAAAATAAAACAGAATACAAATTTATATGCTTTTAAAACTATATACATATGCATGTTCGTAATTTTGGACATTTTTTAAATGACATTGGTGTATTTATTAATTACAAAAAATCGCCACTATTCGCTAAAGCCGGGCACAACTGACAATCTTTTTTTTATAAAAAAAGTTCATTATATATTTATTATAATGGTTTCTGCAGTTTATTTGATAATATAAAAAAACATGCTATAAAATATCTGTAAGAGACCAATCCGATAATAATGTCCACGATTAAGGTGGCCATATCCCTGGCCGAGAAATGGTGAAATTTCTGGCATATTTAGGTACTGAAATCTTGAAAAGTAAAACGTGTAGAACAAAAGTAAGCACAAAAATAAAATCCTTGATGTTTTATTTATTCATTGTTACCATTTAAATTTACCCAAATAAAATAATAACNATTGGCCTCAATGATTTGGGATCGAGGGGGATTATCCCTCTTTATCCTGCCTCATCTCGTGTAGGCCTGGACAGCCTTCGTAGGTGGGCCCCATCCGTCGTCTACCCCGACCGCAAATGCGGCCGGTGTAGGCGCTTTGTGGGACCTCCTTTTGTCCTGGCTGGGCCCCGCCGGCTAGGGCCCTTTCTTCTGGCATGAGAATGAGGCAGCCATTGTTGTGTATCAAAGGTGGACATGTTTTGAGTTAAGAAGAAGAAGAAAAATAAAAAATAACCTAACTTTCTTGCACAGTTGTTGGAAGTGTTGGAACGTTTTTGTAAATACATTTATTTACATTTGTAAAAAAATACATTAAAATGTGTAATGTTGGAGATGACAATTTTGAAAATGATGTTGCTAACGTAATGGTTCAAAAGGATATTGTAAAATTGTAAGGAAAGAATATATAGGTTTCAAATCAACTTTCAATAATTTTATAATTTCAGGTCAAATTCAAGTACATGCAACAAATGCAGGTTGGAAAAAGCTTGTGTCGTTTTAAGACATAAAGATGCTTACTGTAAAAGCTGTTTCCTTGCGGGCGCAGTTCACAAATTTAAAGCTTTACTTGGGAAATCTAGATTAATTCACATAAATGACCAGGTTTTGATTTATCACAAGATTGGGCATCCTAGTACTGCTCTTCTACATTTTCTAAGAACTGGTCTAGATTTGAATACTCATAAGAAGCTAAGATTCAAGCCAATTGTTCTGTTTGTCGAAGGTGAGTTGTTGTATATGTTATATACTTAAATTTTTGTGAGAATACTTCATTTTAGATCAAATACAACTAAATCGTGAACAAAGAAAAGAAATTTTGAAACAAGTAGAGAAAGAAGTCACTTCTTTTGGATTTAAATTTTACTGTGTATCGTTTGTTGATTATGTGTTAAATCCTAGTTCAGTTCAAGAAAACATTTGTTCTAATAAAGTAAATATTACTGAAAATGATAAACAAAAACTTCAATCAGTATTAGACAAGAAAACCTCAAAAACTAACAGTAATGATTTAATTAAATTATTCAAGTAAGTATACCTACCAGGAAAGGACAGGATTAATATTAATGTTAATTAAATTTAACTGTTTAGGAGACAGCTATTGGTAGATGCTGCTAAAAGTCTTGACTGCAAATTCGTATTCACTCCAGAAATATCGGTAGACATCGCCTCCAATTTATTAACAAATATATCACTTGGCAGAGGATGTCATGTACCTATAGATACTGTAAGTAAAAATATGCTAAAATTTAAAAACACCTTTAGCATGGGACAGATATAACCCGTAAATTATATGTCGTTTCTTAAATGTCATTGCTAATCAATGCCTACTAGCAGAAAGCACTACTTTATGACAGTAGGCATTGAATAGCAATGATGTGATTTTGTAGGTTATATCTCACCCACACTAAAAACATGTTGGCAGATAGACATACAAGTACCTAAATTGTTTGTTGTTTAGTGATGCTAATGATTAATGATTTTAAATCTTAGTAATTTATAGCTATTGGGTAGTGTAATAATTCATTGCTGGAAGGGGCACGTAGCTCGCAAAGCAATTTTTTTCCACTAGTTAAACCATTTTTACTATATTGTAATTGTATTTAACTGTATTTTAGGGTTTTTGTGATGATAGGGATGACGTGAAACTGCTTAGGCCTTTGAGATTATTCGATATGAAGGAATTGGCTTTGTATAATAAATTTAATGGTCTGGAACCACTTTCCATTCCTTATTTTGAAGTAAATCCATATGCATCGGTACAGGATTTAATGATAAAATTTGTCAATGATTTACAGCAAAATTTTCCCGCTACAATAACGACAATTATGAAAACTGGAGATAAATTAAGCTTAGATAAGGGAATTACAGATATATGTACATTGTGTAAGGTAAGATAAGAGTTTATTTAATCTATAAAATCTATTTTTTATACTGAAACATATTATTGGTACGATTGATAAAAAGCAATTATTTCTTCTTAATTTTCTGGTATCGAAAAACATTGTTGACTTCATTTGATGATTGTTAGAAAAAAAAATTTAGCTCAATATCTTTAAATAAAGTAACAAAATAAAACGGTCACATTTTTGGCACCCTTTTTATTCAAATTTAACAGAATGTATCAAAATTGCTCCCCAAAAATACCAAATTTTTAATGGACCTCAATTTTAGGGTGCGTTGCCTAAAAAATCTTCAGAGCTTACATCGGAAGAATCCACCAGTTTTTCCCGTATAGTCTCTACTAAGACTCTAGACTATACGCATTCAAGGCAAGAAAGATATCAAGATATTTTGGGAGATTATGAAAGTCAAAAAGTCAGTGAGAATGGTTACTGTTATGCTTGTACGAAAATAAAACCATATATTTTATAAACTTGACAAAATACTTAAATATAGACGTTATAAAAGAATTTTAATATTTATTGTCTTTTAGCTACTAATTATGAAAAAAATATTTATACAGGGTGTTCCAATTAAAACTTCCCACCTGGAAAATATTGGAATTAAAAAAAAAACAAAAAAAGCTTGAGTCGTCGATTTTCTTTTCAAAGGGGATACACGATGGCGTAAGTTTTGATGTCTTGGAAGCTGCCCCTTAAGCAGAGGTGCAAACAAAACTTACGCCATCATGTGTCCCCCTTGAAAAGAAAATCGACTTACATTTTTTTTGCTTATTTTTTAATTTCGATATTCTCGTTTTAATTGGAATACCCTGTATACAGGTTTACAGCTGTCTTGATTTTATTAGTCAGTCATGACTTGATAAAATTTCTAGACAGTTATTGACATAACTAATACTCTTGTAGTAACATTAATCCATAGTGTTATCTTATTCTCTATGATCGTCTTATATCTTAATAAATAAAAAAAAAAACAATGACATTAATTTTACTTCCTTATCTTTAGCCGAAGTAAAGTAAACTGAACAAATAAAATTCCTGAATAAATTTTGTTATACATTATGAACAACAGGTAAGGTATATGTACTAACACAAAACTGTAACGTCAATAAATTTATTAAAAAAAATTTGAACAAAATATTGATCTAAATATAACTAAGTACATTGTCAAAATTCCTTGAAAGTCTGATGTTTTATCAAATCTCTAAAGACCCCGGAATCACGGGTACACAACTCTTCATAGTTTCCTTTCTCTACGATTTGTCCGTTTTGTAGTACGGCTATAAGATCGGCATTCTGTATCGTTGACAACCTGTGGGCTATCGTTAACACAGTCCTGCCTTTCATTACTCTGTCAAGAGCTTCTTGGACTAAAAACTCGGACTGCGCGTCTAACGCACTAGTGGCTTCGTCGAGCAGCAATATTTTTGGATCTTTTATAAGGGCTCTGGCAATGGCGACCCTCTGCTTCTGGCCTCCGCTCAACATAACCCCCCTTTCTCCAACAACAGTGTTAAAACCGTCGGGTAGTTGCTGGATAAATTCGTAAACGTTTGCTTCCTTACAAACTCTGATAAGTTCGTCTTCTGTCACCTTCTCCGGATCATCGGCCCCGTACAAAATGTTGTCTTTAATCGAACAAGAAAACAAGATAGGTTCTTGGCTCACCGTTCCGATTTGCTTCTTTAACCATGCGGGATTGAGGTCTTTGATGTTCTGACCGTCAATGTAAATGGCTCCATCTAATGGATCGTATAGCCTCAGCAACAGAGCGGCTAAGGTACTTTTTCCAGAACCGCTAGGCCCCACCACCGCTACGGTTTGCCCTGGAGCAATGTCCAAATTTAAATTATTGAAAATCTCGACATCCGCTCTTGACGGATAACTAAACTTAGTATCTTTAAATTCTATACGACCTTCCGGATGTGACATCGGCACTGATCCTTCTTGAATAGGAAGTAGAGGCGTCCTGTCTATAATTTCCCATATCCTAGTTGCCGCTCCCAAAGACTTGTTCAAGTCGGAATAAAAACTTGACAACCCACCCACCGATATGCCTATATAAGCGGCGTAAAGTAAAAACGACGACAGGTGTCCTACAGTTAAAGTGTGTGAAGTTACCATTACCCCACCGTAGTAAAGCACAGATATTATTATTATATGCCCGCTAAAACCCGTCATGGCGTAAAAGAATGCTCTCGCCTTGGCTTCTCTGTAGCATAATTTCAGAACATCTTTAATTGAATTACTGTAACTATCCATCTCTCTAGGTTCTTGGGCAAACATTTTAACTGTACGTACGTTTGATATTCGCTCTTCCGCAACTTTTGTAGATTCAGCTAGGGAGTCTTGTAACTGTCTGGAAATATTACGAACGAATCGTCCGTAAACTACTGCTATACCTGCAATAGGTGGAACTATGGCAAGACCTACAAGGGCTAATTCAGCAGACATGTAAAACATCATCCCGGTGCCGGCGCACACCATGACTAGAGAACGCAATCCATCGGAGATATTCATTGATAGAGCCGTTCCGACGATTTGTGTGTCAGCGGATAGGCGGTTAATCAATTCGCCCGTTGGTCTCTTATCGAACCAGCCTTGTTCCTGTTTCAATATCGAATTAAAAACTTTTGTTCTAAGGGCATTCGTCATTCTGTATCCTGCTGTCGACATAAAATAAATCCTTCCGAAATTACAAATGGCTCCTAACACGAAAATACACAGGAGGACTCCAGCTACTTTGTTGAGTCGCGCTTTCGTTTCATTTGAATCTTGGTTAACATAAATAATGTCCAACACTTTTCCTAAACTAAACGGTATAACCATTGTCACAGTACTGGATACTAATAAAAAGCCGATGGCACAGAGCAGTTTTGCTTTTTCTGGTTTTGCCAGCGAGAACAATCTCTTCAATTCCGATGTACTTGGGCCTTTTGATTCTTTTACGTTCTTGGTCGTCGAGAAATTTCTTTTGATTAATTTCAAAAAACCTCTTCTTGTTGCGTGATTTGCATTTTCAGGCACATGCACGGCTATATAGGTGCTCTCTTTGTTAATTTTTTCTGCCATGTTACTGTTTGGCTTCTTGAATATGAACTTCTTTGTGTGAATGTTGTTGACATATTTTATATATTTTAATGACTTTGAAAGATAATGATTCGTTATCAGTGAGTAAACATTCATTTTGAAACTGTAATTGTTTAGGACTGTAAATCTCTTCTATTTTTATGAATGCAAACCACATCTTAAAAATTAATACCTTGTATGATAAAGAAGCTTATTGTGATCATTACTATCCCATAAATTACGTCAAAAACACCAGACATTTGGAAAACGAGGAACTTTTTTCGAATCCGTAGTTAAACAGTAGCATGATGTAACAGTTTTACTTTTATCAATACATTACAAATCAAATTTCCAATTAGCTGTTAAATTTTTTAGGTTAATTGTTAATCACATTTTCTTCTTCTTCATCTACGGCATAGAATATTTAGGAAAGGAATCAAACTGCATTCAAAAACATAGAACTAGGGCGATAGTGGCGCAATAGGTTGTCAGGTAGAGTACTACGTTTCGCGCGAAAACTTCAGTTTCAAAATAATTATGAAACTTTGTCTACACATTTTACTTACCTAATATTTTTTACATAAAACTTATGCTCATATTGCAAGAAATATTCAAGAGATATATGTTTTAAAATACATGTTAAAATATTGGTGTTTCGTAAATGTTACTTGCCAAAATCTCGCTGTGAGTACATACGCCTTGTAATTAATTATAAAAACCCTTTAATTATTTGTAAACTGGCAATTAATTTTCATAGTGATAATTCTTTTCTGATACTCAGACTGTGAAGAAGCCAGCTGAGCCCATTTAACTACAAAAACCTAGTAAATTTGTGTCAGACTAGTTTTGATATCATTTTCATTTTTTCAAGACTTTTAAACCATTTGGGGATATTAGTTCCAAAAATTTGGATAATTCCCATACAATTTTGAAAAATGTTTCCTGCAAATATTCAAAAACTTTTGTTTGAAAGTTAATGTGCGAATTACATCCACGTTAATCAAAATTATTACTCGTTTTTCCTACGAATTGGACAAAAACATCACTTTGGTGCTTATCTTCTACGTAAAGCTCTGAAATTCCATGTTTATCGTATAGGTGTATTTCAAAGAAACAGGAAACCAGTCAACATAATTTATTATTCAAATATTATTTAGATATGGCACTCCTGATGCTTCTTTATTTATAGAAATCTTACAAAATGAAACAGCCAGCCATATTAAATACATTTGTTACAATATTAATAATTATTATTCTTACGATTCAAACACAACAAAAAAAATAAAACTTATTTGAGGGTACAACAATATAAATTTTTAAACAACATTAACAAAGTATTTAATATGCGCTCTGTTAATTATTTATTACAAATACGATAATAACAAAAATATAAATACACAAGATTTGTCACGATTGCTTGCAGCCGGGTAAATTCCTAACCGTTATACAGGAAATGGGTTTCTTCCACCTCCCTCCCCGTTTCGAACTTTGGTTTGATTGAGTACTTCCGTTGGACTGTTCCGGGGCGTGCTGTTTCTTTTCCGCCTCTATAACATTGCAACACAAATTTCACAAATTTAGACGGGATAAAAAAATATTAGTACACAGTGGTCCTTACGTATGTTTCAATAATAAAAGAGATGATTCTTTTGATAATTTTAAGAAAAACGTTTTTTAGGGAATTTCTGCTGTTAGGCCTAGTTTTTGAGATACTGAGTGTGAAAATTTTTATAAAAGATTACGTCTATGTAAATATCTTGATATTTTATATAGTTTAATTAAACTCAATCCTGTGAATTAAATAATAATACATCAAAGGTGTCACAATCATGAGTATATTAAACAGTGGCGGAAATACTTAGAGATGTTGTCACTATTTAAAAATATATATTTTTTTTATACTTACAGGGTGTTATTTAAGTATGTGACCAAACCTCAAGAGTTGATTCTTTGAGTGGTTCTAAGTCGAAATGTTTATATAAACATTGGTTTGGTAATGCTTCGTTTTCAAGATAGTCAAACTTTTTTTAAAAAATTGTTTTTCCTAAAAATCGTAATAATATTTAGCCAATTTTGTTGAAATTTTACAGTGTTATTTGTGGTAGAAAGGGGCTAATGTAGCCCTAACTAGATTTAAATTATTAAGTCATCACGTTCCGGGGGGGCACCTTAACTTTTATAATTTTTTTCACATTAACCAAGGAAACATATAACTTTTTTGTCTGAAATTTTTTTCATTTCTTGCTTCCTTTTTGGAGAAAAAAAAAATAAAACTCAATTTATTGCATGCCATTCTATCTTGGGAATAAAGAAGCGTAGATGAAAAAGAGCGAATTCCCGAGCAGCTTTTGTCTGAACCTGGGACAATTTGTTTATGATGCTGTTTTGCACATTCTACTTTGTTAGTTGTAAAGGGCAACTTAATTTCAACTTTTTGAAATTTTTCTTTTTCGATACGTTTCTTTGGATCAATTGGAACCTATATCTACAAAACTAACTTCTAAAATTTAAGTTTAGTAATTAAACAATTAGTTGCAAAAAAGGGACGGAATTAATTAACAAATAGTTGGAAAAACAATGTCAAGGTCAATCGAATCGGCCTTTAACACACATGTTGGTCTTTGGATTGACCGTCTTTTCCATAAAATCCTTTTCGCACTAATAATTTTTTAAAACTAATTTTTCCGCATTCAACCTTTATTCAACAAATTGGTGAAATATGACTTTAGATACCTTAAAATGTAGGTAATTTAATTGCCTACAACATAAAATGACTAATTCTCCGATAGATAGTCTAGACTTTTGTGGGCAGTAAAAAAAGTGAAAAAACACGTAAATTTGCTACTTATTGGCAATTTGCCACCTTAGCGTCACTTCTTTCGAGTTACTTTTTTGATGTTGTCACTCTATACAGGGTGTCCCGAAATTCATGCAACAAAATTGGTCACAGATTCTTAGGACAAATTTAGGGGACCCGTATTTTTTATTTTTGCCAAGTGGACCCCTCTTTAGGAGTTACAGTCCCCTGAAGTCCGCCCCTAAGAATAATCTTTTTTTTATCTCAGAACCCTGTTGTACGAGAATCACTAAATTTGGTACACAGGGGTTTTATGACATGCGGAATCTGATGGTGCAACGTTTTTTGGCGGGGAACCCCCTTAAGACAATTTTTCGTGGGCCCCCTTGTCTTTGGAGCCAAAAAATTTTGGTCGCATATTTAAATTTCTTAAAAATTATCAGTCAACTAGAAAGCCATTAAATTTAGAAACTCTTTGCCTCTTTATACTTTTTTCGTAAAACGCAATGTTTTCGAGAAAAATGTCATTATGTGATCGAATGCATATCGTGGTACGCCATTTTCCTCAAAACCATTGCGTTTTATGAAACAAATATCAAGAGACAAAAAAGTTTCTAAATTCAATGGCTTTCTAGCTAACTAATAATTAAAAAAAAAAATCAAATTTGCCGCCAATTTTTTCTAGTTCCAAAGACAAGGGGGGCCACAAAAAAGTGTCTTAAGGGGGTTTCTTGCCAAAAAGCGTAGCATTGTGAGATTCCACATATCATAAAACCCCTGTGTACCAAATTTAGTGATTCTCATTAAACATGGTTTTGAGACATAAAAAAGACTTCTTAGGGGCAGATTTTAGGGGGCTGTAACTCCGAAAGAGGGGGCCAGTTGGCAAAAAGAAAAAATACGGGTCCCCTAAATTTGTCTTAAGAATCTATGACCAAATTTTGTTGCATAAATTTTGAGACACCCTGTATACCCTTCCCCGTCAAGTGCAATAAAATGTCTAGTAATAATATTTTCACGTTCAAACTCCAATTCGACTGGAGTATAAAAAAAATAAATAGATATCGAATAAGTATAACTAAAAAATTATTTAGTTACTAACAAAAAATATTGTTATAAAACAAAACAAATATTCCATTTTTTCTTTTTCATCCGTTCATCCGTATCAGGTAGATATGTTCCGTAATCCGTACCAGACAAAATGCATGTGCATGCAAAATAATCTGAACATTTACAACACTAGTGTGAACTAGTCATAATTTCATGATACCTGCAGATTAATAGATTTCACCAATAGTTTCAAAGTAGTTCTTTGTACCAGTAGGTACAAAGTAATGTTTTGTGCCAGTAGGCATTGTGTGGCAATGACATTTAAAATACAACACATACTACATAGGACACATACTATTTCGAGATATTTGCGTACAAGTGATATTTTGCAAAATTTAACACCCTGTATTTCGAAAATTAAGCCATTTAGGACACAGAACATTTCCTCCACGAAGTGATCAAGTTCTTTATCACTGAAACATATTTAAGGACCACCAAGGTCACAAATGATGCAATTCTTATTTTTCATTCATTTTGTTCTTTTCTTCAAAGCGGGCAGCACGATAGGCAAATAGAAAATTAGGTTAGAACACGTTTTACAAAGCTTTTGAAAAAAAAAATGATTATGACAAAACTGCAAAACTGATTGGAGACCAGGCTGAATATTGAAGAGTTTTCACATATAAAATGTAATGTTGTTCTAGGAAATTTCAGCCGTTCGTATTTTACGAACAAATTTTAGTTAGAACCGTTCGGGAGTCATGCAATCATCTGGACTCCAATCGTAACACAAAACCAACAGGCAACAGTAGCGTCCGCATACGATTAGACACTTTGAACATATCAAGTAACACATAATCGGAAAATCCGAGCACACACCATCACGATAACAAAGAAATGCCGTTTTTAAATGCTACAGACTTACATATATATAAAAACTACTCGTGACAAAACTGGATAATTATAGAAACAAGTGGTCATTACCATTTAGCTCGTGCTCGGTAAAATACTGGGTCCCGTTAACCTCCTCGTTGGGATCGTCGTAATAGTGATCGACTAAATAAGGCAACACAGTCATATTGTGCCATTCGTCGCCGCGTAGGGGAGGAATCGGCACTTGGATTTCCACCTGTGGCGGCTTTCTCGTGAACCACCTGGAACAAATAAGACAACGCGTTTTAAGAGAGATATTCAAAGTATTCGAAAATGTGGACATATTTTGATGAATAGTTTTTGTCACTCAGTTCAACTTTTTAGGCAGGTTTGAGTTGGATAAAACATTGGAACAGGAAATGAAGAAATTTAAAATTAGAAGTATTTATTCAAATATTATGATTGGGGTGAAAAAAAAAATCTGAAAAATCTGGAAAAAATCTATAATTTCCTGAATGTTTTTCAGGTGCTGAATCTGAATGTAACCCTTGAATTGTTTCAGGTCAGGTTTTTCAGTTATCGTTGTCTAAATATGTGAAAAACTAGTTTTCTACGTTATATTTGAGATTATGTTACATCACGAGGAAATTTTTCTAAAAAAAACCCATTATGGCATCTGAAAGTACTAGTCTTCTGCAAAATTCATTTCGAATTATGCAAACACTTTATTCCCCTCCCAAAAATCGTATCTTGAAATTGGTTAATTTGGTTTATCATCGATATTCGGAAATTGAGTAGCGAAAATTCAAAAAGAGAGTAGAATCAAATTACAAACACCAAAATTCTCGCTAGTTCTTCAGGTTTGGGGTCGCTGATTACGAATTTGAAGTCAAAATTACAAAATTCAAAATGGCGGAACCAATATGGCGGATGGAATAAGAAAAGAAAAGAGTAGAAAACCAGAAGAACCAGTGGGAATTAAAATTTTTGAAATTTGATTTTTCTCTCTCTTTCAGTCTTCATCTAATGCTACTCCGTGATATTGCAAAATCAATGGCAACAGACGATTTGTCGGAGAGGAAAGAAAATATTAGAACTATTCAAAATGATTTTTCAAGGAAAAAATATTACCGCAAATGTAACGAAAAATCGTGTTTTTCACAGATTTATGATAATTCTGAGGTCCGATTTGAATTCAGCGCATCAAAAACGTACGGAAAAGTATAAATTTTGTCGGACTTTGAATTTATAATTGCAATCGGTCGCCAAAGTCTAATATGATTCTTTTTTTTTTACTGAATTTAAATTTTCTTAGGCAAATACATATTAGAAAAAAAATTAAAAAATGTTACTTGCCTTTGTTTAATTGTGGTGCTTTTGTTTTTAACAAATTTTGGTATATATAAACTTCGTTTTTGAAATATGTACATAGAAAAAAAAGTTATATCTCTAAATTTCGTCTGAAATTTTGTGTGCACAATATGTAAATAAAACGGCATTCAAAATGAAAAAATTAAGTTTCAACTCGAACCAGTGGCGTAGATATGAAGAAAATATGTCATTATCCAACAAATTACTGCCTGAAATCGCACCATAAGTTCAAAGTTAGGCGCAAAATTAATTCCAGATTTCTTTCTAATTGTGATTCACATGTCTGCCATCTTAAACGATCCCTAATGAGGTTTTTCACAAAAAAATGTTATAGAAAAGCAGGTAATATAAAAAATTTTGTGTAATCAGTTAATCATCATCTGCCGACTCCACAACAATACTCTCTCTCCGAAATGGAGAGATCTGGATAATAGAGAGAAATCCGGATCATCGAGGTACAAGACCACCACCCTTTGCTTTATCGTCTTATTAACCGTAAAATAAATCATTAGGGGTATTACTTAACGAATAGGGTTATTTTCTAATACTCACGGGTGTTGCCTGACTTGCTGTAGAGTAAATCTCGTATGAGGGTCCTTCCGTAACATTCCCAAGAGCAAGTTCCTAAGAGGGTCTTCTATCTCATCGGGCACAGTAAATTCTCCCCTTCCTATATTTTCAAATAGTCTATAAATGTTGTCGCCCTCGAAAGGATATCGCCCGGTTGTAAGGTTATATCTATCAAAAAATAATAACAGTACTTTAGTGATTCGTTTTATAAGCTAAGCTACACTATAAATCGACCTTAGAATAATTTCGCTTCCTTAAAGAGTTATCGGCTTTAAAAAAAAATTTATATTTCATTTTTTGGGATAAAGCCTGCATCTCAGTAAAAATTGACATTCTAATAAAGATACGTCGGTTCAAATCGCCAAAATTTAACAAATTTATTAGAATACAACAAATAAAATTCAAGTATTTCTGATATTTTTAGCGATATCTATGTTTTAAGTAAAAAATAAGCTGTCGTTCATATTCGGCTCCCCTCCCAATATCAAATTTCATTAAAGTATCTTAAAAAGTGCTAAGAGTTACTTTAAAAATAAGTGAAGAGAAATTTTTTTAAGGAAGCTACTATTGAAATGACAGTAGCGCACTTACAATGTCACCCCGCTACTCCAAATATCGACTTTAAATCCTGGGAAGTACTCCAGACCGTTGGCAATTTCGGGAGGTTGAAAGGCAGGTGATCCTTGACCAATGAAGCAGGTGTCATCCTTGGCAAACAAATCGATGGTCTAAAATAGAAGCTATGATTAATACAACAATTTTTAGCTCGTAACAACGCTCAACACATAGATACAAATACATACATACAAAATAATTAGAAAATATTACAGCGAGTTTCACTTTGAGGATAAACCAATTTATACCTGGCCTTGTCTATTGCAAATGATTTAAAGTAACTCGGGCGCAATGAAATTATGTCTATTTTCTATCACCAATTGCATGGGCCTTTGTCTGCGCCAAAAATTTTATATACCATTTAGAAATAGAAGAAAATCGTAAAAATATTCTTTGTTACCTTAATTTACTACATATATTTTTCATAGAAATGTTAGGGTGTATTATTTTAATTTAAATCATAAAGACATCAGATTTTTTATTGATTATTTTAATATAATCTACCAGAAGTTACAAAATATATTTAAAGTGATATTTATTGTTTTTCTTCAAAAAGGAAGCAATTTACGAAAAAATTCAAGAGACAAAAAAGTTGTATTTTTAGTTGCTTAATGCGGAAAAAATTATAAAAGTTTTTAAAAAGTCAGTGGCGCACATTTTTGTTGTCGAAAATATCAGTTAAGGTGCTTCTCGGGACAGCACTGGACTTAATAATTTTAATCTAGTTAGGGCTAAATTAGCACCTTTCTACCATAAATAACACCGCCAAATTACAACAAAATCGGCTTATTATTTCTTATCGGATTATTAAGATTTTTACGAAAAAACTTTTTTTTTAAGTTTGACACCCTGTATCTTGCAATTGTATTTTAAATCTCTACATATTGAAATGAAAATCATGCGCAGTCAGCTGTGCATCTTTTTACGCTAAAATAAATCTGCCGAATAAAAACGGTAGAAAACGAGAATTTTATTTTTAGGGAGTGACTTTTTGTTGAAAGATACTCAAGTTACGTAAACAAAAACATTCCCATCCTTAGATACTAATGTCTACTTTTGATGTGTTTATATTTCTCAAGCCCAACGGCCCTTGCTCATAAAATAAAATGCTTATAAACATACGGAGGTATATTGGAGCATTAAGCTTAAGAGAGAATTTTAGTTTTTAATCTGATTTGATACAGAATAGATGTGCTATCTGAATAAGTGAAAAAACAATATCTTTCAATTATTAAAGTGTTTTAGTTCTACCCATAATACCAACACTTTTATACCAACCCCCGAAGTGACACCTACCAAGAAAATACAGTTTAATCATTTCTTAGTTAGCTGTTATATGTATATAAAAATTACGGAAGGGTCACATTGGTGGAACATATAGTTAAAAAAAAAATAAAATCAATATCAACTATTCATATACAAAGTATAGATATAACTACAAAATATAACAATTATTTAGAATCGGACCTTAATCACCATCACTATTTTCTTCAGTAGTTAACAGTTGTAGTTACATAAGTTTAATCAAAAATGTAGATTAATATTTCAGTTCCTTTTAAGATTTTTTCGATTTGTTTTGTATAACGGGCATGTGACAAATAACTGCCGCTATATGGGAACAACGGTCCACGATTATACAGGGTGTTTCAGAAACACCTCCCGTAAATACAGGGGGTCATAGTACGACAAAAAGTAAGAATTTTTTGACTTATGAATTATACAGAGTGACCCATTTGAAAGCGGGCCACCCTCATAACATTTTTATTTATGAAGTGATTTTGACGATTTTTTTTTTAAATGTAGAGGGGGCAAAGATGTATTTTGGGGCCAAGCGGCATCCAGTTCGTTTTTAAACTAAGGCCTACTAGATCGCATTCAGAGGCTGAAAAATCCAGAATCCATATTAGCGACTTTTTTAGAAAAAATCTGCGTACGCCACTGGATTCGGCGTCCCCTGAAATAGATCTGTACCAAATTTCATGAAAAAATATTCACCATTAACGATTCTATGGCTAAATTGTTGTCAAATTGTTTATTATGCATTAAGAAGCTTTTTATCTAGTAACCCATGCGATTACAAATCAATCACAACAAATGTTTAATAACACATTCCTTATATCAAAATACAATGAAACAAACAGAAAAATAAATGAGACATTAACATAAAATTTACAAAAAACGCAGTAAAATAAAATTAAATTAACACACATAAATTAACTTTAAATTCTAGATTTTTCAACCAAATCTCCATTTAATCGAATGCATTTATTGTATCGTCTTTGAGTGCGTGCTATAACATTAGACAACTGATGTGTTGTAATTCTTTGGACGAGTGTAGTAAACTTTTTCTTTAATGAACCCCCAAAGAAAAAATCTAGGGGAGCTAAGTCGGGAGCCCTGGGAGGAAAGTCCATTAATCTACTACTTCGCCCTATCCACCGATTAGGAAAATTTTCTTCATATTATTGTTTCTTCCTTATGGTTTCCCGTGGTAATTGTAGGTCCAAACTAGCAATTCTTAAACTTTTTTTCGGATTTTCGGTGAAATAATTTTGAATTTGTTCATTGCTTCTTCTTGGCTGTTGTACATTAATATTTTTTTAAATGTGCTTAGATACAGCTCCGTATTCATTAAACATATTGCTCACTCGCCCAATGGTAGACTTGCTAATATTTTGAATTTCTGGATGTCTATCACTAAAAATTCGAGATACTTCCCTTTTGGATCTGTTTCTGTCACCACAAAGTTTTACTATTTCAATTTTATGTTGTAACGTTAAATTACAGAGTCATACTTTTGACAGCGCACTTAAGGAACAATACGTAAATTTCACTATTGAGGTAATAAATTTGACATATTCGTCTTTTGTTCAGTCATCTGCGACTTAAGTAATTGCAAAGCCTGCTATTAGGAATATTGTTCATCACTATGGAGCTGTATTATTAAAGCATGTTTAAATAAAACAAAGATTGCCACTATTATGAATAACTATGGGATCGACATTATTTATTTAATTTTTTTAGTGACGAGGCAACATTTACAAAAATATTCGTTCAATTAAATGGAGATTTAGTTGAAAAATCCAGAATTTAAAGTTAATT